GAACATCAGCAGGAGAGGACTCTTTAAAGTAGAGACACTACATACTGATATACACCTGAACATCATCAGGAGAGGACTCTTTAAAGTAGAGACACTACTTACTGATATACACCTGAACATCAGCAGGAGAGGACTCTTTAAAGTAGAGACACTATATACTGATATACAGGAGAGGACTCTTTAAAGTAGAGACACTACATACTGATATACACCTGAACATCAGCAGGAGAGGACTCTTTAAAGTAGAGACACTATATACTGATATACAGGAGAGGACTCTTTAAAGTAGAGACACTACATACTGATATACACCTGAACATCAGCAGGAGAGGACTCTTTAAAGTAGAGACACTACATACTGATATACACCTGAACATCAGCAGGAGAGGACTCTTTAAAGTAGATACACTACATACTGATATACACCTGAACATCAGCAGGAGAGGACTCTTTAAAGTAGAGACACTATATACTGATATACAGGAGAGGACTCTTTAAAGTAGAGACACTACATACTGATATACACCTGAACATCAGCAGGAGAGGACTCTTTAAAGTAGAGACACTATATACTGATATACAGGAGAGGACTCTTTAAAGTAGAGACACTACATACTGATATACACCTGAACATCAGCAGGAGAGGACTCTTTAAAGTAGAGACACTACATACTGATATACACCTGAACATCAGCAGGAGAGGACTCTTTAAAGTAGAGACACTACATACTGATATACACCTGAACATCAGCAGGAGAGGACTCTTTAAAGTAGAGACACTACATACTGATATACACCTGAACATCAGCAGGAGAGGACTCTTTAAAGTAGAGACACTACATACTGATATACACCTGAACATCAGCAGGAGAGGACTCTTTAAAGTAGAGACACTACATACTGATATACACCTGAACATCAGCAGGAGAGGACTCTTTAAAGTGGAGACACTACATACTGATACACACCTGAACATCAGCAGGAGAGGACTCTTTAAAGTAGAGACACTACATACTGATACACACCTGAACATCAGCAGGAGAGGACTCTTTAAAGTAGAGACACTACATACTGATATACACCTGAACATCAGCAGGAGAGGACTCTTTAAAGTAGAGACACTACATACTGATATACACCTGAACATCAGCAGGAGAGGACTCTTTAAAGTAGAGACACTACTTACTGATATACACCTGAACATCAGCAGGAGAGGACTCTTTAAAGTAGAGACACTACATACTGATATACACCTGAATATCAGCAGGAGAGGACTCTTTAAAGTAGAGACACTACATACTGATATACACCTGAACATCAGCAGGAGAGGACTCTTTAAAGTAGAGACACTACATACTGATATACACCTGAACATCATCAGGAGAGGACTCTTTAAAGTAGATACACTACATACTGATATACACCTGAACATCAGCAGGAGAGGACTCTTTAAAGTAGAGACACTACTTACTGATATACACCTGAACATCAGCAGGAGAGGACTCTTTAAAGTAGAGACACTATATACTGATATACACCTGAACATCAGCAGGAGAGGACTCTTTAAAGTAGAGACACTACATACTGATATACACCTGAACATCAGCAGGAGAGGACTCTTTAAAGTAGAGACACTATATACTGATACACAGGAGAGGACTCTTAAAGTAGAGACACTACATACTGATATACACCTGAACATCAGCAGGAGAGGACTCTTTAAAGTAGAGACACTATATACTGATATACACAGGAGAGGACTCTTTAAAGTAGAGACACTACATACTGATATACACCTGAACATCAGCAGGAGAGGACTCTTTAAAGTAGAGACACTATACTAATGATAACACCTGAACATCAGCAGGAGAGGACTCTTTAAAGTAGAGACACTACATACTGATATACACCTGAACATCAGCAGGAGAGGACTCTTTAAAGTAGAGACACTACATACTGATATACACCTGAACATCAGCAGGAGAGGACTCTTTAAAGTAGAGACACTACTTACTGATATACACCTGAACATCAGCAGGAGAGGACTCTTTAAAGTAGAGACACTACATACTGATATACACCTGAATATCAGCAGGAGAGGACTCTTTAAAGTAGAGACACTACATACTGATATACACCTGAACATCAGCAGGAAAGGACTCTTTAAAGTAGAGACACTACATACTGATATACACCTGAACATCATCAGGAGAGGACTCTTTAAAGTAGATACACTACATACTGATATACACCTGAACATCAGCAGGAGAGGACTCTTTAAAGTAGAGACACTACTTACTGATATACACCTGAACATCAGCAGGAGAGGACTCTTTAAAGTAGAGACACTATATACTGATATACACCTGAACATCAGCAGGAGAGGACTCTTTAAAGTAGAGACACTACATACTGATATACACCTGAACATCAGCAGGAGAGGACTCTTTAAAGTAGAGACACTATATACTGATACACAGGAGAGGACTCTTTAAAGTAGAGACACTACATACTGATATACACCTGAACATCAGCAGGAGAGGACTCTGTAATAATACTTTTTCTTTCATAAACACCTTGAATAATCGTACTTTGGTCACGTTGGCCCTTTCATCACACTCGCTGCACATTGAGATAAAAATCAATACGTCTCAAACTCATTAACACTACAGTTCTCAGAGGCCTTTTTACACACACACACACACACACACACACACACACACACACACACACACACACACACACACACACACACACACACACACACACACACACACACACACACACACACACACACACACACACACACACACACACACACACACAGGGGATGAAATTATGAAACTTTATGGATTTCTGTAGAAAAACGGTGTCATCGCAGCAGCAGGTAATGAATGACGAGGAAACAAGAAGGCCTTCAAAATATAAAAGACACATCGATTGCTAAGACAGTAAATTAATTTGAATAATACGTAATTAAATGTTGTTTTCAGACCCTTAAATGTTGCAATATTGTATATAAAAAGCTAAATATTTAGTTTTAATATCTAATGATTATTTATGAGTTAAAACAGTTTTTTTATGGTGAAATAAAATAAAACTGACACGCAGAAATGTTATTAAATGCTGTTTCCAGCCTCCTAAATATACATGTTCTGCTTTTTCAGTTTTATATCATATTAAAGTAAATATCTTTGACATTTAAAAACGTCCCCTTGGACTGAAATACTAAGATGGACATTTTTTAATATTTTCTGACACACATTTAACAGAGAAATTGATCAGTCGCAGCAGCCCTAATCTCATTATCTTCAGTGTTTATATTTATTATATATAATATTTCTGCCGCTGGGAATCAGAGGATGTTCCCGGCTCTCCTCGGCTAAGAGGCTTATCTCTCCAACAGAGAGCCAGCAGCCAGCGGAGGAATCAAATCTGGATTCGTGAGGGAAACATGGGGCGGAAAATTGCAGGGTGGACAAAAAAATGTGGACGTCTGAACATGTTGGCCGCACAGTTTGAAGTTTAGCTTTCAGGCGTTAAAAATAAAATTGGGAATAAAGTTTGAGTCTCGGGGATCGAATACATGAAATATTAGCATTAGCCAATGTACAGGAAGTTTGACTTTATTCTAACATTTTCACTTTTATTTTCCAAATGTTGTATTTATTGGCGACATGTTTAACCTTTTTTCATAACATTTCAGCTTTTTTCTAGACATTAAGACTCGACATGTCCAATGTATTCGCATTTTGTATGGACATTTCAACCAAGTTTTGCGATGTATTCTTGACATCGACTCGTCTATTCACGACATTTCGACTTCATTCACACCATATCGACTTCTCCACGACATACCGACTCTATTTACCAAATGTATTCTCGACTTTCCAACTTTATTCGCAACCATCCGACTTTAGTTGCATCACATTTCGACTGTTGCGGCTGAAGGCAGTCCAAATAAAACAGGCAGCGAGGGTCTAAATACGGGAAGATAAACACGTTGACACGCTCAAAACAATCGCTCCACTCGTTCTGTTTCGTCCGACCATTTATTGGAGGAAACAACAAGCAAAAATTAAAAATATCCAAGCGCCGATAACCTTTATTTATTCAAGTAACCTCAAGTGCGATGACGATGACGCTGGGATATCGTGGTGGAACATTTTTGCAAGATTTCAGTATACATTTGTGGTCAACAGGAAGTTGTGCCCCCCTCTCAGCAGGTGAGTGCAGACAGGTAAACAACCACTAACTCCAGTGCACGCCCACCACCAATAATACAACACAGTCTCACGGCATTTCGTGTTATAGTCACGAAATTAATCTATTGATTCGTGTTCACCAACACGATTTCGCCATTTTTTTCGTGTCACACAGAACGATTTTAAAAGCAATGTAAATAATAACAAATTAGAAGGAAAAACACATTAAAAAAAATACAGATTTAAGTATTCTGACATGTATTTCTATTGGTAGTACCAATAGAAATACATTGCATTTAAAATCGTGTTGGTGAACACGAATCAATAGATTAAATTAATTTCGTGACTAATAACACGAAATGCCGTGAGACTGGGTTGAATAATACCACGTGATAAATAGAAACACATAAACCTTACATTTGGCTCCAACGACTTTAACCACAACATTTCAAACGTATTCTCGACATTTCCACTTAACTCTATAGGTTCCAGCTATTCGCAATAATCCGACTTTATTCAAACACTGTAAACTTTATTCTAAAATAACAACTTTATGTCCCACATTTCAAACCTCTTCCCCACCTTTAATGGTAACTTACTATCATTTCAACTTTTTTTTTCGCAAAATAATTATATATTTTTTCTTGCAACGCAGTTTTGAAAAAAACCCAAATCGTGCCTGGCCCTCATGCTCTTCCATAAAAGGAGGAGGGCGGAGTGTGTGTGTGTGTGAGAGAGAGAAAGAGAGAGAGAGATCAGTGTTAAAACTCCACAGTTCCTCAGCAGCTGACACACACACATCACCTCCTCTTCCTCTTCTTCTTCCTCCTCGTCCTCATCTTCCTCTCCTCTCCTCCGCCGGTCCTCCGCTCCTCTCCATGCCGGCGGACTGGAGCTCTTCGCCGGACTCAGCATGGCGAAGATCCGCGTCTCCTACGAGTATTCGGAGGCCGAGGACAAGAGCATCCGGCTGGGTTTGTTCCTGATCGCCTGCGGGATCCTCAGCCTCTTCATCCTGGGCTTCTGCTGGCTGAGCCCCACGCTGCAAAGCCTGCAGAGCAAGCCGGCAAACTGCACGGTGAGGCGGGGAGAGAAGCGGGGAGCAGCCGCTGATCTGTGGAGGTGGAGGAGGAGTTAGAAATACTACCGTTTTTAGTGGGATTTTTTAGCAGGGTTTTTACAGTAGTAGTTGTGAAACTTATAACAATCGTGTCTTTGTTATTGTGTAAGAAATATAAGTTGCATTTGTTGTTTTATTGGTAGTAAGGGCCCAAACATGTAGGTGTTGTTATTAAGAGCAGTAGTGGTAGATACTCCAGTTTAATTGTTTTTATACTGGTGTTGTTGTCCATTAATAGCATTTATAATAAGTAACTTCTTACATTGTTATTGTGGTACCATTTTTGTTTTGTATTTGTTGTTTTATTGGTAGCAAGGGCCAAAACATGTAGGTGTTGTTATTAAGAGCAGTCGCAGTAGTAGATACTCCAGTTTTAGTGTGTTTATACTGGTGTTGTTTCCATTAACAGTATATATACTTATAATAAGTAATAGTAACTTCTTACAGTGTTGGGTTTGTTATTGTGTAAGAAGTATAAGTTGTATTTGCTGTTTTATTGGTAGTAAGGGCCCAAAAATGTAGGTGTTATTAAGAGCAGTCGCACTAGTAAATACTCAAGTTTCCCTGTTTTTTTACATTAGTAGTTCTGAAAGTTATTACAGTCGTGTGTTTGTTATTGTGGTTTAAAAATAAGTTGTTTTATTGGTAAGGGCCCACAAATGTAGATGTAGAGCAGTCGCCGTAGTGGTAGATACTTCAGTTTTAGTGTTTTTATACTGGTGTTGTTTCCATTAATAGCATTTATAATAAGTAATTGCAACTTCTTACAGTGTTGTGTTTGTTATTGTGGTTCAAAGAATAGTTGTACATGTTATTATATTGGTAGTAAGGGCCTTGTTGTTAAAAATCTCCTCTGGTTTTGGTGTAGCTATTGTTATTAGGAGCAGTAGTAGTAGATAATATTTGTGTTTTCCTGTCATTAGTGGTAATACTCGGGTCTACGCGTGTACAGGATTATATTTAAAAGCAGTTTTTAATCCATTTGATTTCATTTAAACTAATTTAGACTAGGATGAAGAAGAGTAGGTAGAAATACTCCTTGTTGTTTTTCTCGTCTTGTTTACATTCATAGTAATTATAATAAGTAATAGTGTGTTTGTTATTGTGGTATTAATATACGTGTTATTATTATTTTAGTGATAGTTTGGGCTTTGTTGTTGTCAACAATTACTGTTGTTGTTATTAAGAGCAGTCGTAGTCATAGTTGTGTTTTAGTATTAATGGGGTCCACATTTGAATCACTACGGATGTTGTTACTCTTTTGCTTTTAGTAATAATATCTTTATACTAGTCTTCTTTCCATTTATTGTTGTGTAACGTATTGCAGTCGTGTATTTATAATTGTGGTATTTTATGTTTTATTTGTGTGATATGTAGAGCCTTGTGTTGTCATATGGACTTTTGTATTATAGGGTCTCTATTGGCGTAAAGAGCGTTAGTAGTATTTGTAATATCATGTGTAAATCTGTAGTTTTGAGATAGTGAGTATTATGAAGCTGTTGTCTTTGTTATATCAGTCGTTGTCAAATTCATGTATTTTAGGATTGCATAAAGAAAAAACAGTTTAAGTAGTATTTGATTGGAAGTAGCGGCGTGTTGTTATTAAAAGCAGCAGTATGAATTAGCTGTAATATTGTTATCGGTGTCCAGATTAGTAGATGTTACTTAGTAGTAGTAAAGGTAAAAGTGCAGCCTCACCTCTCAGGGGTTATTTTGGGATCCCACATGTGGTTTCTTTATTTACCTTAGAGCTTACAATGTTCAAGGGTAATTCATTTTCATCGTACAACACAGGTTGGTGCAGGTTTTGCAATATACATTAGTAAAGTAAAGACACCACATGTTTCCTCTAGTGTGTCCTATAGGTTTAGTGCATGTAAATGGTCTGCAAAGGGTTACAATCCCAAAGTTCTTGAACACATTGACACCGCTACGGAACACTCCTATTGCCAGATAACCAATCAGAGCAGACTGGGCTCTGGTTTCAGACAGAGGGTGAAAAGAGGTGCTGCAGCACAGGCAGTATGAGAACAAGATCTTTCTGAACATTAAAGCATCAGAGTTTTGAAAGGGGCCTCGGTCAATACATGCTGGGAATCGTTACGGTAAATTAAATTATATGACAAGTTTGAAACCCCCCCCCTGTCTGGCTCACATCAATCATATTTCCCGTGGTAGCAGAAGGAAGTCATGACCTTTAGCTTTGTGGCAGAAACCTTGAGTTTTATGACGTCATTTCTTTGAGTATTTTTACGGTCAATACTAAGTGTGTTTCTTGTCCTCCGCTGCGTCACTGAGCACTGTGGATTATTAAAACTGTTTGCGTTTCAAGGAGTTTTCTCTGAAATAAATCACGGCCGGCTCTTTTCGGCGGATGATGAATTTCCCGCCGGCTTGATTTATTCTGCTGTTAGCTTATTGCATCTGTTCGCTGCATTACAGAGAGTGGAAGCCTGTTGTTGTTTCTTTCTGTCTTTCAATCACAAACTCACTCCGTCATCCTCTAATCTGCAGCTTAATATCTCATAAATCACAATACTTGGACTTTATGAGCCTCTCTGAGTGATGAAAGAAGGTCAGACTTTCATCAGATCTGTGCAGATTGATTGTGTGTTCATCGTGTGTTGATATTTATTTTGTTGCCTGCGGCTGCTGTTGAAGTCCTTTAATGAAGAGGAGGAAGAAATGCAGCCACACATCCGTTTTTTAACATAAATCCCTCACATCTGCTCACATATTAATACAGTTTCAGATCTACCATCAGGATCAATAGTAGTTTGATAAATGGCTCCTTGATTTGAGACAATATTTAGCAAAAGCTGATTATCACTTGTTAGCCAACTACCGCTAATTCAACTGCAATGACGACTCTAATTAAGCTAACGATAGCGCCGTGAGTTGGTGGAAAATGCTACTTATGTGTAAACCTAAAGACTAAAAAGCTGCTTAAATATGCACTGGATGTCTACATACATGATGTTGTGCTAAAAAAATGATCAGCCCCCAAATAAAAAACATTTGCGTCATCGACTGATCCATTGAGAAGCTAGTTAGCCCGACATGCTAACGTTAGCGTTTACATTAGAGCAGGAACAGGCAGTTTTTTTTAGGCTAGAGACTGAAAAGAGACACCTCCTCCTAACAGGAAAAGTGGCAAAAATAAATGTGTTGCTGATGAGTGTGAAGCTAACATTAGATTTTAGTGGGAAGGGGTTTAGCGATGGATCAATGGTCAATATTGTGTTGAAAGTAGTAGTAAAGTAGGGATTAGCATTAGCTGTGTCTTGCTAACAGTGGCTAAGGTAGCGATGGACGGTCGCTGTATTGCGTATGTTTGAGTATTTCCCATGTTACAATGAAGTATATTAAATCTGCTTCTCTCTGCAGGTGGTGTCGGTGCTGCGTCCGGAGGAGATGTTCGAGTGTATTTTCACGTGTGGAGCAGACTGTAAGGGAACGTCTTTATATCCCTGCCTGCAGATCTTCGTCAACAACTCAGAGTCTAACTCTGTGGCTCTGCTGCACTTTGACGAGCAGCAGCTGGTCCTCAACCCAAAGGTAACAACAACAATAACACTGCTTTTATTGTTGCTTCTTTGTGTGGTGTTAAACTTGAGGTAAATGTGGATCTTTACCAGAATCAGAATACTTTATTTATCCCGCGGGAAATCGGGTTCCATGACGGTGGCTCCATTTTTAGAATTAAGTGAATTAAAAAAACAGAAAAACATTAAAAAAATGCATTAAATCCCAAAAATTAAGAACAAAATATTAAATTAAAAGACAAAATAAATATTTCAATAAATCATCTAATAAATGTCCAATAACTACACCTACTCCTAAAATGTAAAAGAAACCCTCCTTATTTACTATTTTTTGTTTCATTTAAATGTCTTCCTTATTTAAATAAAATGTATTCTAAAAAAAGATCCCTACATCGATTACAACTTTCTTTTCAACTCTTAACACAACAAATTCTCTCCATTTTATTTTTAACTTTATTTTTGGCATTTTGTCTTTATTCTCATAATGCAAAAAATATATAAATATGTTCCTCTTACTTTTCCAATGCCTGGCACCAATTCTCTTCCATATATTTGCCTTGAGTCCTCTTTAAAACCAATGACCCCTACAGAGTCCTATGAATACTTAAAACTACTTTTGGCTGCTATAAGGTAGTTATTTATTATCACTTGTAATGTAAGTGTTAGTGTGTTTTCTTGGCTGTAGTATCTCTGTCTCTCTCCTACATCGGTGCTCGTCTGGGTCGTTGCTACGGCAACAGGGGTGGTGGCGCGTCACCGCCAATGCCGCTCGGTCTCCATGGCGACGGCAGCAAGACGATGATGAGTTCATTCATTCATTAAAAAAAAAAAAAAAAACCTTTGATGTTCCTGAGAGACGTTTAACCTTTAGAAACGTCCCGCGGCGCCTGAACGCATCGTTACCACGAGACTCCACAGGTTCATTGATCAGGAGAACATGAACAAAAACACATGAAGAAAGAAAGAAATACATTAAAGTTATTATTAATCTGTAAACACATTAATGGACTGAACTTATACATCTATTTATCAGTTCTTTGGACCCCTCAGAGCTACTAGTCATTCACACATTCATGCAGAGCAGCATCACTTGCTCTAGGGAAACACACACACACACACACACACACACA